ACATATCTGGCCCAAGTTCATTGCAATAGTGCTTTCCGGGCACGGCTTTATGATTGAGTTACTGGCTGTAAAGGGAGTCTCATGAAAATACTTATGAGCCCTACTCAAAGTGAATTCAGCTTTACAAATGGTCTTCTTTTAATTAAAAGAAGACCTAGTTTTGTTAAAGGATGGTCCAAATTAAGGCTAACAACCCATACCTGCCAGAATAATACACAAAGAATTACAGTAAAACAGTGGTACTATTTTCCCGTGTTTAGCTGGTAAAATACTCTGTTCCTAAAGTATCCATAATATGACACAAAAATAAATATCAACATACAAAATCCTTTTATCATTCACTGTATTATACTTTAAAGTAAGTCAGAACAAAGTTTACAAACTGGAGCACAAGAGACATGTTTACGTAAAAAGACGTACATAATGTAAAGGCATTTATAGAAATCAGTTCAGTCAGCAGGATGAGGCGGCGCACGTCTCAGAGACAGCCTAGCTAGACTCTCTGTTCTGTATTTTGCAAATTGAACGCTAACTCACAAATGGATGCTTTATGAACCTGGCATCTGGAGGCCATCTAATAAGCAGACTTTCCCTTGAAGCACAGCACCAATCAGTCTCTCTGAAATAAGGGTGCTGAACTGCGATGAGAGCCAAGGACACATAGTCTGTGTCTGGGCGTGTTTGAGGAAGACAAGAGACGGTCGCTGAGGAAATAAAAGGCACTAAGCTATGCGTAGTCACACAGTCCTTGTCTTCTTAACATTTGTTTGTTCTGCTTGTCTGGGCCACCTGCCCACTGACACATGAATTATATTGTGGTGATGTTTCTCTTTGTTCTATTAAATTCTGATTTAATGGGCTATTGAACCTTTCGATCTTTCTGTTTGGGCCAGCTCCTTCCATCCGTAGCTGGACTTGTAATTTACGGTGTTGCAGCGTCTGACACACCAATCTTCTGCCTCAGCAGAGGAGTATATTGACAGCCGCGACTGTCAGAGTGCAGCTGTGATGATGTGCCTCTCCACCCAGCAGCGGGCAACCAGTTGCAGCGAAGCCCCCTGCCGCAGTCCATGAGGCTGAGGAGAACAAAAGCATCAAAGCCCGAGCTCTCCTCCTTGCTCCTCTCTTACGGGGAGGGGCTGAGCTGTGAAGGGGGAGGCACCATGTGTACTTGATTCAATTAGGCAGTCTGTGAGGCCTCCCCCGGGAGAAGGCTGCACAGAGAGGGGCTGCAGGCCTGTCTAACAAAGACGTTCAACCCAGCCCTTTGCCCCTTCTGAATCCACCTCATTAGTCAGCCGAGTAAGTGTTGATCATCTCAAACCGTGTCTTCACTGCAGTGTGAGGAGGAGCACCTCTCCTTCTGACTGTGGCTGAAGCAAGACTACATGAAACAAATATTTCATAGCTAAGATTTGTATTGCACGGGTGAGTATTTGCACTGCAGAGACCTACAGTACTCACTGAAGAGGGCAAACCCCTTATTTGGTACAAGTCGTGTATACTATAGTGTGTTAACTGCATGTGTGTTCCTAATATCCTTGCTGTAAAATGTATTATCTGCTACTGTCTGTCCGGAGTAGTCCCTGTAGCAAAAACAGAAATTGACACAGGGATTCAGGATGAGAAAATAAACCTGCAGAAGTAATATCTCATTCCAAGTTGTGTGTGAGCATCAACAGAAGCCATATCTCTTGGCAAACATCTGTCATATCCACTATCTGACTCACACCACTGAAAGTCCGGCGGTTTCAAAGTTTCCTCTGTATCACAGAGAATAAGTAGAGCTCTTTTTAATGTCAGACGGATAAATACGGTCAGGCAACATTAGTATTCATTTTCCGTACTGCTGGTCCTTTGAAATGCAGCAGATGTCTGTGTTTCTGCATTTGCACGTTGTCATAGTCGCTTAGAAGCAATGGTGGAAAACGAGAAAAATATAGAAACATCTGTTTGCTCCGTTTAATCAGTGCACGCCATATCTGTCAACACCAATCTGTTCTAAATATATTCTAAGATAATTATAAAGAGATGTGACATATAGCAAGATGAAAAAAAAACCTGTTCATGCTTTATTGATTGTTCCTTGATTACAGGCAAGATATCAGGCTGAAAGTGTTTTGGATGGTGTTTGATCCATTGGGAGACTTTTTGGTTTTCATGACATTATTAGCCACCATGCAAAAAATTTAACTCAAGTTAGTCGCAAAAGTAACTTGAGTTTACCATTGTCCCCACATATAAACATAAAAAAATGTAGGCACTGGTCTGTTCAGTCTCTACTATACCAATTGCTGGTTTGCACTCACACCCATCCACAGGCCTACAAACCTGCAGCCTGACAGCCACACCTGCTGTGCTCTGGGACCACTTGGCTGTTTCAACAATCATTGCCATCATAGGAACCGGAGATAATTACACACCTTCCACCCACCAGGCTGGCCTGCTTCACTAAAACCGTATTGCTCCTGTGCTGCAATAACACTTGTCTAAATGAATGCACGGCACTTTACTGCACGACTGACAGCGCCCATTTATTCTACCGTCCAACTGGAAAGAAAAAACAAATTAATTTGGCACTTAAGGCCCCCACCCCTGTGAATAATGTATCACCCTTCCCTCAAACCGCAACCCCCACCCCAAAATCACCACCATTATTCAACCCTCTTTTTATGATTCCCAGTTTTGAGTAACACAAATGTTCAATTAAAGCATATCACATTTATACAGAAAGAATCACTGGTGTTTGATCTCAATCTGCTCACATCAACATTGCCATCAATCTTGAATAATAATTACACTTGTCTAAAACTAGCATGTATGCACCTTCTTCATGTTAAATACAGTGAAAAGTGTCCATCTGTCATACTCAAATTGCAAATTGTACTTTAAAAAAAACACCAATTGATCTACACATTTTTCAAAATCAAGTGAATTAAGAGCGTTATCTTTAATTCTGTCTTTTACAGGTTCGTGGTGCATGTGTTTGCTAGCCAGTCTCTTTGTTCACTTCACACCGTTTAGTTTATGGACTGGGCGTCGGAATAACAGATCTCTAACAATTATCACTTGTGCACCCAGATCCCAGTAACACCTCTCCTCCTCCCCTAGGGGAGGACAGACGTTGGGCTTTACACTCTCATGTGCCCCATTATATTTATGCAAATGAGACTAAAATCAGGGGAAATCAGGGGGCATCCTTTCCTGTAAGTGCTAATTAGCAATGAATGCAATATTGTATACATAATGCATGAAGTCCCTCTCAGTGCAGCTATACATTGTGACCTTGAACACAAGGCCAAGTAGGGGTTGAAGAACCAGGAATGTTTCATTTTAATAGTAAAATAATAATAATTGGTCCTTTTCTGACTATTAAGGAACTCAGTCTGAAAATTTGAAATTATGAAATTATCTGCAGTTATATACAAAACAAAAAATGTCACAATCTTATGAAAGTGTCTTCTTGAATCATTGTCCGGGAACATATTACTTAAAAGCCTAACACACAAGAGAGCCATCCCGACTGCAAAGAGATCTATTAATATCATAAGGTTACAGCCTGCCAATGAATCAGGCCTCTTAAAAGAGCCAAACAGCAGGAGGGAGACAGACCGGCACACAGGTGGCACGACACATCACATCCAAGACTGCCACTCTGCTCCCGAGAGCTAGTAAATGGTATTTTCTCAGATCCCATAAAAGGGGCTGCATTAAGATAACAATGTTGAAAAGCAATTATTAAAGAGCAATAAAGTATGTTTAGTACCCTCTCCAGGCAAGTGGCGCTCATATTTTTTGAGTAACTGAGCTGAGAAATGAGGCCTGTGGCCCCACGGCTATCTGGAGGGCTCCATGGGTACGAAGAAATTAAAGAATAAATGACTGAAAAAGCAGACATTAATATGTGCCCTGATAGGGTTCAATCTTTGATGAAACAAATAACTTGTTAAGGTATAATCTTGCTTTTTAATTGAGGTTAGTGATAAGCTTAAAAGTGTTTTTTCTAACATAAATACTTGAAAGCGGATAAAATGAGCCTCTAAGATGTAACATCAAAAGTTTCAATGCCAGAAAATATAGGGAATTAAATCCATTGTAGCTCAGTGACTAATCCATTGAAGATAATATTATTTTGTATAATAGGACGGAGTCAGAAGTGTGTGGAGTATTTACTTGAAGGAGTGAACTTGTATCATATAACAAAGGTTATATGTTACATGATACAAGTTCAGGATTTTGAGTGTTTAGTGAATATATGTGACTGGATCCTAATTGATAAGACAATTTGAAAACGTAGTAATGAAGTATATGTAGGGGAAATCATCATTGTACAGTATATCCATAACAATAAAGGATAAACAAACAAAATCAATGGCTGTCGTCATGACGATACTGACACATTTATTCCCTAAAACCCAGATCATTAACTGAAGCTGTACAAAAGTAAGTATCACAAAGTGAAGCAGAAGCAATTAAGCTCCCTCTGCCCCGTTAGTTGGATCAGCTTCCTGTGTAGCTCCTGGTGGAGTCATTTGCATACAACACAAACATACAGTAAACACTGGTGAAACCCTACTGAAAGGATTCAGATCATTTAAAAAACATAACAGATTTAGCGAGAATTTAGTTTCTTCATGTTCAACCTGTACATGTTTGACTTTAGTCCCGATGTTGCTAGTGTCTATGGAGTACAACTCCAACATCAGCGCAGCAGTGAACATGTAAGCGCAGTGTCGTGTAAAATGCTGCTTCGACACAAACTGCATCTCGAGGGGAAACAACCCGGGAGACCTGCAGCAAACACAGAGGAGGAGCACAGCAACACACAACAAAGTCCCAATGAAGCTTTAGGAAATTCATCAAAAAATGTCAACGTACTCTAAATCCATCTTATGCCTGGTGTAAATCTATATTAAGCACAGCGTGTCCCTGGGTTAATAATGAGTCTCTGGGCGGGAATGAGAGGACATGATGATCAACAGTTGGCACAGGAGGCTGACCGCAGCAGGCGGTGCTGTTGTGGCAGAGCTGTGAGAGCGTGCCCAGCACCTGGCTGCCGCCCTGAGGGGAGCTGGCAGATGGCTCTGACGCTGGGGTGGGCATCCTCATATACTGAGCACGACTAAGCCTGACTCCCTGGGCCGGCAGGTGAGGACAGGAGTGCCAAACAGAGGGGTCCAATGGACGGGGCTGGAGAGGGCGACAAGGGTCACAACATGCCCCCAGCAGACAGATGTTTCAGCTCATTAGAGCTTATCAAGCCGGTCTGCATATTTCACTGAACAACTGAATTATTTATGTCTGCAATGTCTGCATCTTTCTGTAACCTGTCTCTCACCCGTTTTAATATGTTCTGGCTACATGCTACGATGTATAGGCGCGGCTCATGCTAAACATTGCAGATTGCGTCGGTGCATCTATATGTTCTGCCAGGCTGAGCACTGTTTAGAAACCGAATGCCAAAAGTGTCATTTACACGCAGCCTGATGAGTGCTTATCCATGGGGACCTTTGAGCTTAAAATGTCATTGGCCGAGGCTCCTCTGAGCCCACACAAAGGTCACCAGTGACACCGACTCCTGAGTTCCTTATTGATTACCAATATACCATCATAATGCCTGACAATTACAGACGCAACGGAAATTGTAATCATGGAAACAGTGGGAGGATGTATCTAGAATCGTAATGCTACGCAAATACATGTATAATTCAATCTAAGGTCACGGATTCCCCCGTGTGTTGGTGGACACGTTTCCTACTATATCAATATTAAACATCCTCGGTTAATTCAAGACATATTTTGAATGTGTAAAAATAGAGATGCACAAATCTTACAAAAAGGGGAATGATAGATAAAGTGTTATTGTATAAACCTTTCAGTGACACAGTTAAACCTAATCCTAACCCTGCTTTTAAATTGAAGTCGGCACAAATGTAGCTATAAGTATACATTTGAAATATTTCAGGAGCTCCAGGTAATTAAATGCCGGCATCAGACTGGCACATCTTTTTTTTTTAAATACTGACACAAAACTGATGACATTTAAATAACTTAATAAATCAATGAATAAAAACAAACAGAGCAATGTGCAGTATGGAGAGGCTGAGTATGAAGTGGCCTGTTGCCTGCCTGAGCACAGATGGCGGCAGAGCAGGATGTACCGACCTGTACTTTTGCCCACAGGCGCGTGCACATATGCACACACACATACATATATACAGAATATCACATATGCATGGATGCATATGTGAATACTGTCCTCATACATACACACCCACATACAGTAGGTGATGCTCAGCCAAGTTAAGAGCTTATTGTTCAGCATAGGATCTGCAGATAGACATATTGGTCATTTAGGAAGGTGTCACACTTGTTTATATAAAGATCAGGAGTCAAAACCTAAACATACTCTTAATATCTGTAATAAAAACAGCTTCTGTCCCTTTTTAACGGTAATGCAAGACATCCAGACATGTCGATCAAAGACTGACTGCAATTCACAGAGACATCCAAGGCCAAGCAGGATAATTAGTGCACTGAGCGATCAATACTGCTTGCGTGGGGGTTGAATGCAGAGGGGAAAAAAGCAATCTAAGGGACATTTTGGAGAGAAATGCTAAGGAAAGCAAAATCCAAACAGGCGGAATATATTACAATGTGAGAGATTTGCATCAGTGGGAAGGACTGCACTCACGGTACGTAATGAGGACATACCAGGAGCAGGATGTCCTGCTTTTAAGATCCATATTAAAACCACTAATATTCATAATTTATATTTGAAAGAGAGAGGTACAGAGTATATTGATCACTAACAAAAGCCATTGAGAGATCCTCAGTGAGCATACAGACAAGTGGTACAGGCTGGAGACAAATGGCAAGGCGTAAAGACAGGAAGACGGATATATAGGTAGATGAATGAAGGCGAGGGTTCAGCGTATCGATCGCCAGAGGAAGAATAGAGCTCCCCCGGGGGCCGAGGGGCCTTTTTAGCACTGTGTGAGAAGAGAGGGATGACATGTTTCCTTTTTGAGGTGTTGAGGGACCGCTTGCCATCATGGCCAAGATGGAAAGATGCATGTGAGGAGAGTGTGTGGCCGTGGCGCTCTGTGGCGTGACAGACGGTGATAGCGAGTGACAAACAGAGCGCTCTGAGAGAGGAGAGGAAGACATACTGGAGTCCAGCCCCCCGCCATGACTCTGGGACGTCAGCCATGCCCTGCCCCTCCTTGCTCAGATTCAGCCATCAAGAGGAACACAGAGCTTTTGATTTGATCTGGATGCTTTTTTGATACATTATCCCGTCGTCTTTCTGGAAGCACTTCAGGGGGAAACCCAATTTAAGAGGGCCAAAAAGAGCAGAACAAGCATACCTGAAGTCAGCTCTGTGCAGCGAGGTGTGGAGGAGGAAGGCTGGAGGGCGGAAAAATACTGTGGTCACAGCCAATCCTGCTGCTTGTGGGGTGGAGAGCATCATTCTTTAAAACCAAATGACAGAAAAAACATTATTAGTATTAAGAATTCTTTATTATTAAGAATTTTACTATGCAGAATATTGTTTCAAAATAAAACAAAGAAAATCTTCAGATGTTACTTCTGGTTTATGAATATTCCATTTGCATTCAATTGACTGATTGAAACATGGCTTCTGTGGAAAGAGAGAATTGCTCCTCGATTTCCTCGAGTAATACGAATTTGTAATGGCTTCCCCCACTGACAAAAAGGCATAAATGAAAACATGATGTGGGCGTGGACGGCCATCCCTGCTGCAGATTAAGGTTCTGACACTCTGCTAGGAAATACATTTGAGTGAACAAAATAAATAAAACATTGAGTTGTACCATTTGCACCTTGGCAACCGCTCTACTATTATTAGAAGACCGGTAGGTGCAGGAAACGTAGAGATGGAAAAGCTCCAACTGTGTCCAGACAGGCCAGACTCAAACACATAACACAGTCTGAAAAATGATACCAGGCTCTATATAAGACTTTAAACTCACACCTTATTCACCTTTTCTGTTTTTTTATCAGAGATTAGAAAAAGAGAGAATAAACATGTATTAATACGAAATAAGAGTAAACATCCAGTACAGAGTATTGGGAATGAAACCACTTCAAAAGCATCTCCTGTTCTTTTCAATATAACTCTGCGTACAGTTTGACCCTTAAAATAAATAGACTTTCACAAAAATGCTTATTTCCTTTTTTTGCATAAGACAATTTTTTTGTACCTAAAATGAAGCTACAGATAGCAGCCTGTTAGCTTGTCTTAGCATAAGGTTTGGAAACAGCAAGCCATAGGTCAATCCAAATGTAACAAAATCCACCTCGAGCAAATCTGTAGCTCGCTAATTAATACCTGTTATCTACCATGTTTATTATGTGCGAAAATGTAAAAACGATAAGTTGTGCTTTTTGTGATGTTACGTAGATTTTTTGGCTGAAAGCAGTGACTTCCTAAAGTTTTGTCATCATCGTGAGGTTATCAAGAAACCTCTAGTAAGTCACTGCTCACATCCAAGAAAAAGTTTGGTCCACCCTGTTTCCGGTCTCAATGCTAAAGCTAAGCTAAATGGTTGCTGGTTTAGCTTCATATTTGGCGTACAACATGAGCGAAGCAATCTTATTATCTCAGTAAAGAAAAGGTCAAAGGTCAAACTATTCCTAAAAATATGATTAGAAATTACCACGACATAAAAGAGGGCCTTGGTGCAAAAATGTCACTTTAACAGATGCATTATTATTAAAGGCGGTTCCTTCCAAAACATAATCACGCCCACATTGCATTCACATATTCAAGCCTTTTAGCTTGCAGTGCACAGAACAGTTGTCCATTGTCTCACTTAATTGATGTCAGAGCCCCGAGGTGCATTAGTGCTCTGCAGGATGTGCGCACGCTGGTGTGCATTTGCTCCTCTCTAGAAGCACCGGCCTCGCCCACCAGCTGCACAGCCAGAGCATATTGATTTTACTGCTCATGGAGGCAGAATAAGAGCTGGGGGGGGATATTTTTTCTGACTGACCTGTTTGAGTGATATTAAGGAACAATCATGGCCGCACTGGGCAGAATATCTAGTGTAGAGCGATCTTCATCGGGGTTAACCATAGTCTGCAGGAGAACCTAAAAGCAAGATTTATTGAGCAGGAAGGACGGTAGAGAGCGTGCACATCACAAATCCCTCACACAGCCCAATCTGCAAACATAGCACATCTCTAATGGTCAGTTTAAGTTATGCAGTATCACATGCTCGCATTTAAAATCATGCTATTCAATACCACCTGGTGGGCACAAGATCAATGAAGAGAATCAGTTCATATCAAATTCTCACTTTGCTTGATTAAGTTAGCATCTTTTTCATCTCGCAGGCACAGAGCTGTTAAAATAAAAAAATAAAAAAATGAGATTGGGTGTCTTATCAGATATTCCAAGATCTAATTAAAGCCAAACGATTTGTCCATATTATAATTGCTCCAATCCAGAGCCCGTAAACCCCTCCTCACGTCTCACTGGATATTCATCACCACCAGAGGATTTAATTAATTTATCAGCAAAACGAAGGGGAAATGTGAGGATGATAATAAATATATAAACCAGCTGATGTTGGATGGGGAAAAGTGAGTTCACACCCAGGGAAGGTTGTACAGTATATGTGGTTAAAGGGAGGAAACAGGTACAATGGGCACAGCAATGTTACTGCCACAGTGGGGCAGTAGTCCATTAAACTACAACCCAGTTCTGTGGTATGAAATCTCTCCAGCAGCAGCAGTCACTGCTTTATTCACCTAGTGAGGAATAGTGTTGAAGGTTAGTGAGGCTATCATCTGTAGATAGGAGAAAAAAAACACAGGACTTCACAAACAGTGATTACGGCTCAGAGCTCTCAAGAGGGTCCTCCATTAACAACGCTGCACAAATCAATGTTTACGACCCCCATAAAAAAACTGCAAACTAGAAAGCCCCCAAAGCTCGAATCATCCATCAAATCTGTTCTTTACACACCATATTCAACCAGATTCAGTCCACTAGCCCTTTATCTTCCTGCTGCAACTAACCCTGCATTTTAGTCACAATAATGACAAATAAAATAACATGTGTAGTAGTAAAA